GCCTGCCAATTCGATCGTCTGTGCGCGTGACTGTGGACTCGGATCGTTACACGCGAGCGGTCTGTGCGTGTGCGTGTGGGTGTGTGCTTTGGGGCACAGCAACTTGGAACAGTACACTTGCGGCCGCCATCGCATGGAGTAGCTCAGCTGCAAAGCCGTCGTGTGGCGTCAGCGGCAACAGTAGCAACAACAACATCACAGCGTGTGCAACTGGTTGAGCCATTCTTTTGGCGGTGGGATAGATGTGTGACGAAGCCTGCACTTGAAACTCTCAACCCGAGACCAGTCCTCCGTCTTTACATATTTTGTTATCCAAATTATCCGTCTTAACACAGCTATATGTAGCCAAGCATGCTTCGTTTTGACCTGTTCGAGCTTTGGTATATGAATTTCCCTGTAATCCTAAGCATCTGGTTTTATTAAAGCAATTTACAGGAAATTCAGTAACCCATCTTTCTATTGGCTTCCTATTTCTGAACAATGTCTGTTTAGTTCACTGTATTACTGGGCTTTAACCTTAATATGAGCCTTTAATATTTTGTATTTTAGCAATGACGAGGCCCTCTGGGCCTAAAATATAAAATTTATTTATTATCTTCACTATATTCTGTTCTTGCAGTACGTCGGCATATCAGTGTTCTGTATTGCTATTTCTAGCACGTTACCTCACGTGTAAAGAGACTAACATACAGAAATTTATAAAGGTGCATTTTATGCAAACCTTTAGATTATTTCAAATTTATTTAATTTATTCTGTGGGCTCAGTGAATGGAGGCATTTTTCGCTGAAAAATTTCGATCGTTCATTCAAAATAAAGTATATTTCCCTCTACCTGCGGATCGTCTGATATCCGGAAATTTATTTATTTTTAATTTACGAACAGCACACATTTCTGGGCGTTGAAATTGATTAAATAGTCAGAACGGAATGTGTTGGCCTCCGTGATTTAATTTACTTATTGCCTGATATTACAAACTGCTTTCTAGACTGCTTACTCACATACACTTCTTTTTACTCTTTCCTACCAGGATCTGACATTCTTTCCCAGTCCAATGGCCTTCGCGAGTCTCCCGGTGGTCTCAGTCAAAGGCACTCGACTTCCGGCCACTTTACCAACCGACCAACCATGGGGCTAACGCCCACCTTCTACGAAACCTACCAGCATAATCCGTTAGCAATGTCCTACCTGGATGCCGGTCAGCAGTATCAGCTGACTGCCCTCCCCAGGGAAATGGATGAAGCCTACCAAAACCAGACAGACTTTCATTGCGCCGGCATGAACTATGCGGCAGCGGGGACTGCAACGGTGGCGTACGAGGTCGCGGTCAATGGCGCTTTTCCGGAGGGTGTTCAGTTCCTAGGCCCCGAAGGCATGCTCACCCCTGTACCCCGGTCAGCTGCGACGTCTGTTGGTCTCGAGGGCTCCCGGTTCAATCTTCGCGAGACTCTGCTAGGGACGCCACTGACGGCGAGCACTCCGGATAACTGTTCCGCTGAAGCCACGGTTCATCTAGATGGCCAGATGAGTCGTGGCCTTGATGAGACGGCCTCGGGTAAGTAGCCCATATATATTTCATTAGATTAAGC